GGAAGTGAGTCTGAGAAATCCTGGTTCCCTTACGAATGGTTCGACGCGCCCGAAAAGCTCAATTTCCCTGGGCTCCCGGAATACGAGACCTGGTATTCGAAGCTGAAGGGCGGATAAGTTCTCATGTGGAAGGAGTGGGAGGGGTGCCAGCGGCTGTTCAAAGAAAAGGGGATGCGGACCTTTGCAGACTGGCTGCGTTACTACAACAATCTTGATGTCGCCCCCGGCCTCGAGGCGCTGGAAAAGATGAAAAGCTTCTACACCAAGAGAGGAATCGACATTCTGAAAGACGTGGTGAGCATGCTAGGGGTGAGTTTGCATTATTTGCTCCGAGGGGCAATCGAGCGCGGCGCAGACCTTTACAGCCCAAGCAAAGAGGGTTATGAAATGCTCAAAGGGGCAGTTGTTGGCGGACCGAGCCTGGTTTTCAGAAGATGGCACGAGGCCGGTGTGACACGGATAAGGTCACATCAGTTTGAAGAACCGCGTCTTTGCAAAAAGATTCTCGGTTTCGATGCCAACGCTCTCCATCCCTCGACCATGCTCAGAGAAATGCCTTGCGAGAAGCAGAAGGTCGTGCACTACGACGATGGCCGCCAAGCGGAAGCGACCGAAGGTCTGATTCACTGGTTGAAAGCAGGAAGTTGGTTTGGCTTCGCCAAAGTCGACATAGAGATCCCAGAGCACTTAAGGCCAATGTTCGAGGAGATGTGCCCTTTCTTTTACAACAAAAGGGTTCCCGCCAAAGCTGTGCTGAAACATATGGAAGAGTACTTGGTGAGAACGGGCAGACAGCGCGGAGACGGGGGAAAGCTTGTGGGGGCTTTACGCACCTCTGTTGCTGTGGTACGTGAACCATGGGGCGGTTGTCACGGGGGTTTCCAGAACAATCGACTACGAACCGGGTAAGATCTTTACCTGGTTTGTGGATCAGGTGACGGAGGACAACAGCAAGGCGCTGCTCGCTGAAGTGTTCAAACTCCTCAGAAACAGCGCTTACAGGAAACTGATTGAAGCGCTGGAGCGGCAAACGAACATGATATACACGAAAGATGAGAAGGTTGCTGACAGAGCGCTGCAGAGCGCGTATTTCGAAGACCTCGACGAGATCAGAGAGGCCTACGAGCTGGAAAGCCGCAAGCCTCGGATCACAATCAGACGGCTGTTCCAGATTGGAATCGCTGTCTATCAGCTGGCGAAGCTGCAGATGCTGGAATTCTACTACGACTTTCTCGACAAGTACGTCGACAGAAGAGACTTCGAGCTCATCCAGATGGACACGGACAGCAACTACATGGCAATCTCGGGGCAGCGGCTCGAAGACATTGTCCAGCCAGAGTTGAAAGCCGAATTCGAGGCGGAAAAAAATCAGTGGCTGCCTTGGGACAAGTGGAGTGGGCGCACCCCGAGGGCAGCCGGATGATCGCACTCAGCTCAAAGTGCTGTTTTCCCTACACTGGAGAGGGAGGCGAAAAAAAGAAGTTTAGCACGAAAGGGATGTTGAAAACGCAGAACAAACTGACATGGCAGCGGTTCGAGGAAGCGCTGGAAGGCAGCAAAGATATGGCGACCAACAGAGGTTTCAGGATGCGGGACGGGCAGATGGTCACTTATGAGCAGCAGAAGCTGGGGCTGAGCGCTTATTACGATAAGCGGTGGGTGCTGCCCGACGGGATTCAGACCGAACCAATCGAATTTCACCTTTAGTTCACATCAGCCGGAGGAAGAGTAGTGTTTGGAGGGACAACGAGCAGCTCTTCACGCATGAAGTGGCACTTGTGCCCGTCGCGCAGATAGTAGAGAACAGGTTGATCTGGTTTGATGAAAGACCTTTCAATGCTGTAAACTTTGAAAGAGCAGATAGGGTCTGTGGCTCTTTTCACGCCCCCTTCAAGCTCGCCAGGCTGGTAGAGATAACGAATCTGGACAAGAGAGGGGAGTATTTTTTCGTTTTTCCCAACAGACTTCGTGCAAGGTGTCAACGGCCTTGCGTAAACAGATTTTTCTTTGATGGCGTCCATATAAGTAAGGCGTAAAAAAGTTTAAAGGAACCGGAAGGCTGCGTAGCCCAGAGCGAGAGCGCCGGCGCCAACGAACATGAGTTCACCCTTTTTCTGCTGCTCGCTTGGCTNAAAAAATCAGTGGCTGGCTTGGGACAAGTGGAGCGGGCGCACTCCGAGAGCAGCCGGATGATCGCACTCAGCTCGAAGTGCTGTTTTGCCAACACTGGAGAGGGAGGCGAAAAAAAGAAGTTTAGCACGAAAGGGATGTTGAAAACGTAGAACGAACTGACATGGCAGCGGTTTGAGGAAGCGCTGGAAGGCAGCAAAGATATGGCGACCAACAGAGGTTTCAGGATGCGGGACGGGCAGATGGTCACTTATGAGCAGCAGAAGCTGGGGCTGAGCGCTTATTATGATAAGCGGTGGGTGCTGCCCAACGGGATTCACACCGAACCAATCGAATTTCACCTTTAGTTCACATCAGCCAGAGGAAGAGTAGTGTTTGGAGGGACAACGAGCAGCTCTTCACGCACGAAGCCGCGCTTGTGCCCGTCGCGCAGATAGTAGAGAACGGGTTGATCTGGTTTGATGAAAGACCTTTCAATGCTGTAAACTTTCAAAGACCAGATAGGGTCTGTGGCTCTTTTCACGCCCCCTTCAAGCTTGCCAGGCTGGTAGAGATAACGAACCTGGACAAGAGAGGGGAGTATTTTTTCGTTTTTCCCAACAGGCCTTGTGCAAGGTGTCGACGGCCTTGCATAAACAGATTTTTCTTTGATGGCAACAGCGGGTTTCTTGCCAATAAGGCTTGTGACCTCATTGTTCAAAGCTGAAACAACTTGTGGAAGTCTTTTCACCCAGGCAGTGGACCGCTTGCCCTCAGGAAGTCGCATTTCCACGGCATACTGGTGTCCGAACAAGCGCTCAGCCAGGGTACGGTTGAAACGTTCGACAATGGCCTGGTGAATGTCAATGCGCCCGTGCCGGATATATGTGTTGTGCTTGTCCATCTCTTTTGTGACAGTGCCCATGAATTCGTGCCCAGGGTCAACCTGCAGCATTTGAGGCCATTTGAGAGGCGAGCACTTGTAAATCTTCTGAAAGGCCAGGGTGAGCTCATCAGAATTTTTCGAAGTCAGGGATTCGGCCTCTTTGTAGCGGCTGGCGACGTTGACAACGGTCAGCGCATATTTGAAAACCTTGTGGCCACGAGGGAGCTTGTCGTGCGGCAGAAAAAGAAGGTCCGCCTGGTGGACCTTGTTGGGTGTAGGAAC